CACACACACACACACACACACACACACACACACACACACACACACACCCTCGCCTCCTGCAAACACAAACACACACTCCTCGCCAACACAAATAGCCCCTCTCCGCAAACACGCCCTCGCAGGGACCCAAACACACACCTTCAGCCTCTTTCCGAACGCATCCCTCGCCCCCGGCCCACCCTGGGCCCCTCACATCCACACCAGCCTGCGCGGGGCCGCCCGGACTGCCGAGAGCTCCACTGCGCGCCTTCGGCGCCCGGCGTTCAAAGCGCCGCCGACTCTCCACCGACTGTTCAAATGCAAATCGCCGAGACTACGTTAAGCACTTGGGGCCGCTGCCCGGGAGTCGTCTCCCTCGCCCCCCAATACAGGCCTGCCCGTCCTCCAGCAGTCTGCAAACCCCGGCGGACGCCTTCATCCCTTAGTGCTCCGGGGCCAAAGCGAATTGGCAGTGCTCCTACTGTGCGCTGAGCCGACAGAACCGGCAGCGAGAGGCGGGGCGGAGAGGGAGAAAAAAACAATTCCCAGCTCTGTCGGCCGGGCGCCCCTTCGGGCCGGGAAAGTCCTGCAAGAAGGGGAAGATGTGGATTGGGCCCCTACTGAGGGCAGGAGCGCGCTCGGCGCCTGCCTGGGTCGCGGGGAGAGCCACCCAGGAAACAGTCAAGGCTTACAATGAGCGCTCAGCGGCTTCGCAGGGGGTAAATGTCCGAGCTGGGCCATGCACAGGGCGTAGATGGGTGGGTTGGGGAGGCTTCCTCCAGAGATGACTTTTCACTGCACTCAGCCAGTCTCCCGCGCCCCCAACCAAGCACGTGCCGAGGACTCTGGAGGTTATGGGTGAGAGGAAGAAGAGAAGGGCTCTAACAAGAGCTCTTCTAGCGAACGAATGAATCAATCAATCAATCAATGAACCAATACAGTCAGCCTCAGTGACTTACTCCTCGCTTTCTGCCTAACTTCGGCACCCCAGGCCACTCACCGGCGAGATCACTCACGTAGCCCCCCTTCAAGGCGGCGTGGGGAGCCCACGGCCAAAGGCGGTTTCAACCTCGCCCACCAGAGGGCGCCAGCTGCAATTCCCCCTCCCTCGGGACACCTGCCACAGGAAGGTGAATGGTCTGGAGCCTGGTCGGCCCACCGCGCTGGTTCCCGATGGAAGCACTTCAGGAAAGCCCTCCTGGAGAGGAGAAAGGGGCCTGCGACCCCGATCACTGCAACACAGAGAGAAATCACCTTCCTTTATCCTCAACTTGAGAGAAAAGGGAAGTTAGAGCTCCTCACCATGAGGAGGGGGGAACCTACTCCAGATGGATGTGTGTTGAAGTAGGAATGCTTTTCCGTGTTGCTGGACACTCCCCAAAGCTTACCTTACCTGCCCCAATACCAGCCTCTTCGGGTTACCCTCCCACTTGTTCACTCATTTGCCCAGCAGCCGGTGTGGGAGGGAGTGGGCCTGGCCCTACCACCCCACACACCACCAGGCACTGTACTTTGTCCATCCTCAGCATGTCTGGCCCCAGGCTGTCTCAGGAGTTAACCTTTTGTTTGTTTGTTTGTATGTGGGACACTGAAATACGTGCCCCCCCCCCCACATCAACACAGCTGCTGAACTGCTGACCCCAGAGTGGTCACATACACACGAATGCTCACATCAGGTACTTCCCTTTCTCTTCCTGGCATAGCAGCAGTCAAACCTCAGAACACTTGATTACAGGCACCAGAGACCCCCAGACCAGGCAATGGGCTGGGAATCAGGAACCCCTAGCCCAGAAGGCTGAATCCCAGGAGCCCCTCTCTGCCCCCATATGCCAGGCCACCCGGATTCTGGTTTCCCTGTCACCCAATCTGGCCAGCCCCCTCCATCTGGCCCCCGGAATCAGGTTTCTAAGGGCCCAGACCCACTCAGAGACAGCCTGTAAGACTGGAAGGAGGAGTAAAGACTGGCTTCTACCCTACCCCTCACAGGCCCTCTCAGGGCCTGAGCCCCTTCGTGGATCTAGGGATGCACATTCCTTGGACTGCTTAAGCCCCCTTATCTACCCCCCTGCCCATCAGCCTGAGTGCTGACAGAGGCCCAGGCCCCTTGTTTGGATGCTGATAACCTCCTGGGATGGCCCTCCCCCACCTGTAGGGACTGGGAATGGGCTTGGTGTTGGGAGGTCCTCTTTTAGCAAAGCAGTTGGGGCCCAGGCCTGGCCTGCCCCCGGGGTCCTAGGGATAGCAGGATCCCACATTTCTTCACCCTCCCCAGGCGCAGGGCCACCCTCGATGTTGCCACAGTGCCACCTGGTGGTCCCTAGGGGAATGCCACACCAGTAGATAAAGAAGCCACACAAATGAGTTGCAAAAAACTCCATATCACTTTATTTCAACCTTTATCCAAAAATGTAAAAAGTATTAAAAATGTGCAGTCCTGAGCTTCAGATGCTGATCTCCAATCTCATAGGCAAATGGGGAGAGAGGGTGAGGACAGAAGTTCAGAGTTCCTCCCAATCCTGGAGAAAAGGGAAGTCCCAGGTAGGGCATAAGATTAGAAAAATACCAGGGCTCTATGAGGGATAGGACCACCCTCTCTCTCCTAACACCAGCCCAAGACCCCACCCACCCACCCATCCTCTTCTACAGAGAAGACACATTTAAAGTTCTTGAAACTTGTACAGGAACATGGTGCATGGCACATGTAGCCAGGTGACCTGAGAAGAGCAAACAAGGGGTCAGCATCTAGGCCTTTACCTGCTTGTCCTACTTCATCCCAGATCTTGTTGGACACCCTTCCCCCAACTCACCAAGGAGGCTAGGGCCTACCCCCCTGCTTCTTGGCAGGCAGGATGGGGCACAACTCAGCTTCCTCCTGCTCACTACCTTCTTCTTCACTCTCTTCTTGCTCAGAAACGTCATTGCTTATAGTAACTGGTGGAAATGTAAGCAGTAAAGAGGAGGTTCAAGCCAGACCCCCTTCATACCATATGTGATTTATTCATGCCCTGTGGTGCTAGGCTTGCAGGGACCCTGACCTCCCAGAGCTTATGATCTAGGTGGGAAGAACCTCAGATACTAAGATGACAGAGAGCTAAAGGAGACCACATTAATGAAGGTGGAGAAGTTGGGACAGGTTTCATGCAGGAGGTAGGCTCGAATAGGACAGAAAGTGGAGGGTATAGCCTATATGGGACCTACACTAGGAGATAAGGCTGGGATGGGGCAAGAGTGTGAAGCAGTGGGGGAGACCTGGTGGGGAATCCACTAGAGGCAAAGGAGAGGGCTCTCACCAATCTGGTGCCTCCCAGTGATCCGCACAGGGCCAGAACCTGACTTCAGGCGGAAGGTTACAGGGGGCTGGAGCTGGAAGTCATCCAAACTGAGCTGGAAGGAAGACAAGGATGAAGGCCTGGCCCACCCAACCTTGTGATGAGTCAGTCCTTCAGTCCTCAATTCCTCACCCCCACCCCTAGCCCTACCCCCCACCTCCATCACCCAGCATGGCAGGGGAACTCACCATGGGTTGGCAGGACAACTTGAGGTTGGCTACAGGGACTGCAATCTCCTGGTGGTCATGATTCCTGGCCACGACTTCTACCACATTACACTCATCTTTGGCCCCCTCAGTGAGGCAGAGCTGGGAAGGGTACACAGGGCCTCTGGGTCTCCCCAGACAAGGGTTGGCACCACAAGTGGAGGCATCTACCCTAAAACTTGCCCCGCCCCAGTGGTCCCCGGATCACCTTGCCAGGGAAGCACCCATGGGGGGGGTCAGAAAGAGGTGACTCCCAGTAAAAGGGATTGGGGGGACGGGTGGAGGCCCCCCGAGTTGCCTGCTCAGGACCAACTATTCACCACCCTTCCCCGCCCCTCACCATGGTCAAAGCCAGCACATGCTCCGAATCATCCTCTTCTTCTACCTTGAAGGTGAAAGAGCGGGTGTGGCCGGAGAGCTCACAGCCTGGAAGAGGTAACAGTGTGTGTGTGTGAGTGTTCCACCAAACCTCTGTCACGTGTAGCCAAGGTCAGACCGGCCATTTACTGGCCCACTTCTCAGGAACACCTGGGGCATTTGGCCCTGGGCCCCGCCCTGCACATAAGGAGAAGGGGTCGCACCGCCCCCTTCCGCTTGGGCTGCAGCTTGCGGGGGACCCCCTTCGCCCCCACCCACGTCGTGTTCACCCACGTTGCATTCCTGTTCAGCCCTGCCCGACCGCCCCAGCACCACCTTCATCCCCTCCTTTCTTCAATACCGAAGAAAAAACTGTCCATAGTGACCGGAGCCGGGACCCGCAGACCCCCGATCCCTCCGGCCCGGGCTCGGCTCTCCTGACTCAGGAACGCTAAGGCGGCGGCGGCGCCGGCGGCCATGCTGCAAGGGCCGTCTGGGAACTCCGCCCCCGACACGTACAAAGCGGGGGACTCGTCGCTGGTTCCGGCCCCGCCTATTAAAGGAGCCGCTGGCGTTTGAGAAAGGACCGGGGCGCAACCGGTCCAGGGGAGCCCGTCCGGCCTCTGGTCAGACCGTTGTGTCGGGACTGCGGGGAGTAAGATCACAGAAGCATGGATTTTTTTTTGTTGTTGTTAATACCCTTGCTTATTTCCGTGACCACGGCTCCCGAAGGTGGCTCCTGTCTCCATTTTCTCTAGTTCCTCTCACCCTCTGCTGTCTCCACTCCCCCACTCCAGGTAAGCTTTCGCTAAAAGAATAGATACAAAAGTGTAAACATTTCCAACTCCCCTTGTAAAGGCGAATTTCAGGGCAGCGCTTTTCTTATAAAAGCAAAGGAATCCCGCATCAGCTCTCTAATCCTTGGGAGCCTGCTTCTCCCTCTGCCTCTCAGGAATAAATAAAATCTTAAAAAAAAAAAAAAAGCAAAGGAATCCCGCATCAGCTCTCTAATCCTTGGGAGCCTGCTTCTCCCTCTGCCTCTCAGGAATAAGGTGCATGGCACATGTAGCCAGGTGACCTGAGAAGAGCAAACAAGGGGTCAGCATCTAGGCCTTTACCTGCTTGTCCTACTTCATCCCAGATCTTGTTGGACACCCTTCCCCCAACTCACCAAGGAGGCTAGGGCCTACCCCCCTGCTTCTTGGCAGGCAGGATGGGGCACAACTCAGCTTCCTCCTGCTCACTACCTTCTTCTTCACTCTCTTCTTGCTCAGAAACGTCATTGCTTATAGTAACTGGTGGAAATGTAAGCAGTAAAGAGGAGGTTCAAGCCAGACCCCCTTCATACCATATGTGATTTATTCATGCCCTGTGGTGCTAGGCTTGCAGGGACCCTGACCTCCCAGAGCTTATGATCTAGGTGGGAAGAACCTCAGATACTAAGATGACAGAGAGCTAAAGGAGACCACATTAATGAAGGTGGAGAAGTTGGGACAGGTTTCATGCAGGAGGTAGGCTCGAATAGGACAGAAAGTGGAGGGTATAGCCTATATGGGACCTACACTAGGAGATAAGGCTGGGATGGGGCAAGAGTGTGAAGCAGTGGGGGAGACCTGGTGGGGAATCCACTAGAGGCAAAGGAGAGGGCTCTCACCAATCTGGTGCCTCCCAGTGATCCGCACAGGGCCAGAACCTGACTTCAGGCGGAAGGTTACAGGGGGCTGGAGCTGGAAGTCATCCAAACTGAGCTGGAAGGAAGACAAGGATGAAGGCCTGGCCCACCCAACCTTGTGATGAGTCAGTCCTTCAGTCCTCAATTCCTCACCCCCACCCCTAGCCCTACCCCCCACCTCCATCACCCAGCATGGCAGGGGAACTCACCATGGGTTGGCAGGACAACTTGAGGTTGGCTACAGGGACTGCAATCTCCTGGTGGTCATGATTCCTGGCCACGACTTCTACCACATTACACTCATCTTTGGCCCCCTCAGTGAGGCAGAGCTGGGAAGGGTACACAGGGCCTCTGGGTCTCCCCAGACAAGGGTTGGCACCACAAGTGGAGGCATCTACCCTAAAACTTGCCCCGCCCCAGTGGTCCCCGGATCACCTTGCCAGGGAAGCACCCATGGGGGGGGTCAGAAAGAGGTGACTCCCAGTAAAAGGGATTGGGGGGACGGGTGGAGGCCCCCCGAGTTGCCTGCTCAGGACCAACTATTCACCACCCTTCCCCGCCCCTCACCATGGTCAAAGCCAGCACATGCTCCGAATCATCCTCTTCTTCTACCTTGAAGGTGAAAGAGCGGGTGTGGCCGGAGAGCTCACAGCCTGGAAGAGGTAACAGTGTGTGTGTGTGAGTGTTCCACCAAACCTCTGTCACGTGTAGCCAAGGTCAGACCGGCCATTTACTGGCCCACTTCTCAGGAACACCTGGGGCATTTGGCCCTGGGCCCCGCCCTGCACATAAGGAGAAGGGGTCGCACCGCCCCCTTCCGCTTGGGCTGCAGCTTGCGGGGGACCCCCTTCGCCCCCACCCACGTCGTGTTCACCCACGTTGCATTCCTGTTCAGCCCTGCCCGACCGCCCCAGCACCACCTTCATCCCCTCCTTTCTTCAATACCGAAGAAAAAACTGTCCATAGTGACCGGAGCCGGGACCCGCAGACCCCCGATCCCTCCGGCCCGGGCTCGGCTCTCCTGACTCAGGAACGCTAAGGCGGCGGCGGCGCCGGCGGCCATGCTGCAAGGGCCGTCTGGGAACTCCGCCCCCGACACGTACAAAGCGGGGGACTCGTCGCTGGTTCCGGCCCCGCCTATTAAAGGAGCCGCTGGCGTTTGAGAAAGGACCGGGGCGCAACCGGTCCAGGGGAGCCCGTCCGGCCTCTGGTCAGACCGTTGTGTCGGGACTGCGGGGAGTAAGATCACAGAAGCATGGATTTTTTTTTGTTGTTGTTAATACCCTTGCTTATTTCCGTGACCACGGCTCCCGAAGGTGGCTCCTGTCTCCATTTTCTCTAGTTCCTCTCACCCTCTGCTGTCTCCACTCCCCCACTCCAGGTAAGCTTTCGCTAAAAGAATAGATACAAAAGTGTAAACATTTCCAACTCCCCTTGTAAAGGCGAATTTCAGGGCAGCGCTTTTCTTATAAAAGCAAAGGAATCCCGCATCAGCTCCCTAATCCTTGGGAGCCTGCTTCTCCCTCTGCCTCTCAGGAATAAATAAAATCTTAAAAAAAAAAAAAAGCAAAGGAATCACGCTATTTGCCTTTGCTCCAAGAGAGCCGAGAATCCTTAAAGACTTTTCAGCTACAGGTATTTTCTGTTTGAACCATGGAACTACTCGGTCCTTCTCCTAGTATGCTTCCTGCTCTAACGACCTTAAGTTTACTATCCAGGAGGCATAGCTTTATTAAGCTTCAGATGCTGTCTTGATGCTGGAGCTTGCTAGCAAAGGATATCATCTTAGATTTGGGGATGTTACTCCTGGCAGACACGTTTTGGAGCTTATTACCATCAACCCAAAACATCCACCTTAGACTCCTCTGTCACATAGTTTGGGCAGGGCAACTCTCCAACCACCATCATTCACCTTTTGACCAAAGAATCTGATAAACTGAAACTGTATTCCTTATCCCACTAGATTAAGGGAACTCATTCAAACTAGCTGCCCTAACTCACGCCCAGGCTGTTAACTGTGGGAAGAGGGTGGCTTGGCCAAGACTAGTCTACTTTCATCTTTTACCTTGCTTGCCTTGAGGAAAATCTGGAAGAAGTCTTTTTGCTGAAGATGGGAATGGGAAGATGCAGCCCCTAACTTGGAACAGCTGTGGAGAATACTTGCTTATAGGTGAGGCATGAAAGGCAGGAGAAAAGGTACCACGTAGAAACAAGAAGTAGGTTTACACAGTACACCACCACACACATTCACTTCAAGTTTTATTTTGCCTCTTGCATGGTCTTCAGATAGTTTTACAGTTCGTTTTCTACAGGAACTGAGCTGTGATCTAAACAATCAATGAAATGTCATTCCAACCTTAATAAATATTCATAACCATAGAAGAGAGCATAGCACTTTACCATCCTAGAGTGATGAAAGTATAGGCCTGGACATCTGTTTCATAGTTAGCATCTATGACCAGAAGACCAGCCAAATGATTATTATAAGCCAAGATAAAACCACAAGCAAACTTGCTAAAAATCCTGATTCCATAGGTTGACCCTGAAATCCTCCAGATAAATGCTAGAACTGTCTACTAGTGTACAACATGTACTTAAAGAGACAACCAAGTGGCACTAAGCTGTTTTAAACAGTATTCTGTAGAGATCTTCCCTTCCCCCTAGCCCTTGAAAATGCAAACTTGGTTCCAGCTTTCCAACATCATACCCTTCTATCAGTTAAAGGTTTCTACCCTGAAAATGAAGAGGTCCTCCTCCTTCCCCTCCCCTAATTCAGTGCACACTCACAGGCCCTGGTTGAAAGTCACTAGACACAACTAGGTACAATGCTTTAAGATTCCAAGCCCACACTGAAGGAACTTCATGAAGGAAAATGTTTCAGGTTTCTTTCTCCTTGCCCCTCCCACCTCAGCTCAAAGTAAAACAGCCGATTTAACAAAACTGCAGGGAAGCAAGATAACAAAATACTGTTCTGAATCCATGGAAAAGTCAGCCAGCCATGATGAAAAAATGAATCCTACAGAGATTACCTGCTAGCCTCATGCTCAGAACCCCTAAAAACACCAAATCTAAATTAAAATACATGGAGCTTTCAGAATCTGTGGTTAAAGGAAAAAGGAAAGGGTAACCATAAGTCATTGGTTAAAGTGTGCTCATTCTTTTAAAAATTAGATACAAACATGCAAGAATTAAAGACTGTGATTTAATAAAACCAGTTGTAACAGGTCTTGACATTAAAGGACAACTGATCTCAGGGCAAATGGGACCAATCAGTCCCTGAACCCTACTTGATAGATGTCAAAACTAACATTTCACATGCTGACCTGCATCGAGGTTAATTCCCAGAAGTGACTGCACTTTGCAACAGATTGAGTCCCATGAAGTTAGGCTCTCGTACCCAAAGTGGTCATGGCCTAGCCCTAGGTGGGAGGCACTTCAAAAATAATAAAACTTCTTAAAAAAAAAAAAAAAACCCAAATCAAACAAAACAAAGGGGAAAGTAAAGAAAATCCATCTTCCACTGATTTACATTATTCAAAGTGCCATCCTGAACCACACCCTTTCATTTTCAAAAGGAAAAAAAATTACAAAAACAGTGAACACAAAAGTCAGGTTACAACTAGTTTATATACAAAAATTTACAAGTTTGCCATTTTTAAGCTTTTGCCACAAACAACTGCACATTTGTCCCTACAAAAGCATAACATGCCTGAACCAATGTCACTACAAGAGACAATTGGCCATGGCTTTACAAAGAGCAGAAAAACTGCCCCAAATTAAAATCATTTATTCAGCTTAAAACCCATCCCACTTGGAATCTCTAC